TTTTACAAAGCATAGATTAAAACCATTTAGAGTTACGCTTGATTAAGTTTATCACGATTTTCTACGAGACTCAAAAAACTAAAACACAAGTGTAAAAATATCTTTGGAACAAAACTTTCCCTGCATTGGAAATTAATATTTTCTCAACTGAACAATTCGAAGGTGATAAGCTCATGTTGGATAAATTTACTTGTATTTACTATGTTATATTCAATAAAAATGTAAACAAAGTAATATATTAACAACATTTAAATCAACAGCTTATGGTAAAGTTAAATTATTTAATAACAGATGTATGCAATTTATTGATTTTATGAGGTCTAAAGCTGTAGAATATTTTACTGCATTACTATTTGTTTCATGTGCTGCACCATTATTTAATTCAATACAACTAAGGGAAGAATAAAGCAGTACAATGCCTTACCTCCAATTTTTGTGAAGTTTTCCTTAAACCTGATATGTATCTTGATGCTAGGGTTTGGTAGACGAAAGTTACGAAGTCAACAAGTTCCAAATGTGATGTGATGTAAACAGGAGTTGTAAACTCCATCTAGATGTTGGGTGAACATGCTTGAATATTATTTTTACGTCACTTAAACTTTGACTAACTTAGCTAACATTTGTATAACTAATTATTATTTAACTTTAACGTATATTGTATATTTGATGCAACCAGTAAAATATGATTATTTGAGTCTAATTATGATTTTCGCTCTGTATACCTGCAACATTTTTAGTATTTGATTGAATACACAAAAATACAGTTTCCTTCACTAGCACTCAATGAACTTATCTTAATTTAATAATATAATGGTACACGTTTTCTATTGTATTTATTTTATATATCATTAAAATGTTGCACCACGTCATTTTATTATTTCATATGCTCGTTTTTTAGGAACAGGTTGAACCCCTACAGTGTAAGTAAATACTCTTGATTATGATCTTATTTGAGGTTTTATAATGGCAGATTAACGTAAGACAATTAAAGTTGTTTTCTGCTGGTGTATGGTCGTGACGTCAATGACAAATAGAATCTGGTTCTCTTGGAATCGAACCGACGACCTTCAGATTTAAATACGAGCACGGTTACTTCTCAGCTAAAAATAAAGCTATGTATAATATAATATATATCATGTTTTATTTTTAACATGGCTCCATCAACGAGATACATTAATTTTTATCATAGACCTACTGTGTTTATATTTGTGAAAAAATACTATGCTAGAAAGAGTACTACATATTACCAATATAATATATCGCCAGAAAGGAGTTAAAGTCTATAAATAGTGAAACTAGTTTTCAGCAACTGAGGCAGTTTACCAAGTTTTGGAAACTTCCACTTATCTTTATTTAACGAGTTTGCCAACTTCTTCTTTAAATTAGATAAGTTTCACTAGACGCGCACGTTTGGCACAAAAAAGGTTATACTCATAAACATTTTTTTTATAAGAGTAGCCAACACTATATGATATCTCATTAGGATAATTTAGAGTAACGTTAATAAGTTTATTACTCAACAGATTCTTACAATAAATTATAATAGCAATTGCGTATTCCTTCTGTTAGTTTCAGTGACATTTGTTGTGTTACAATGGCTAAAAAGTGTATTTCTTGTTATAAATAACTGGTGTCGTTAAACAAATTAACTTAACGTAAGATATCTTTGTTTAAAATACAAGTTCACAAACACCATGAACAAATAGGTTTTGATAGTCATCTAAAATTTAAATCGTACTCCATATTTTTCAGCAAGTTAATTGCTAAATTGTTAGTAACATTTTCTAAGTTTATTCGAATGAAAAATTCCACATCTATTTTGTTTCACTTAGTCTCTTTAATAAAAAATATTTTACTTCTAGTCCGTTGAATTCTAACATTAATTTTTGACCAATATAAAACATTTAGACGCTGCCACACAAAATATAACTATGTCTATGCTATTTATACCATATTACTTTAATTCTGGTAATAAATCGATGTATTAGGTAATAGTAAAACAAATTGAAAACTCATATAAAAGATTTACGTCTAGCGCGTAACCTACTCTGTGATGGTTTTAAAATCAAAACATTATATTTTAAAAATGTATAAATTGTTCTGTCTAATATATTTGTATTCAAACATATAGCCTGGAACTGTAATGCTTGCTATGCCACGAGAAGTACATTACACAGTGTACAGCTAACATCAAAGGTACCATGTTTGCCGTTGGCGAAATAGGTATCTGTACTATAACAACGCTTGTACATCTATCAAAACAACACACAAAGGAAATGTGATTAACTGCAGGATATGGGTCAGTATGTGGACCACTGATTGAGGATAAATTCGTGAGCCAAATTGAACTATCATAGATGGCAAGATTTTTTCATCAGTTAAAGATGCTTTGTTTAAAGTTCATTGTTCATTACGTTACACCTTTTATAGATTATAGTGTTTTGTAATTGGTTATTATTTGCATGTTGTATCATGACTTGACCGCTATATAGTGCATATTTTACTGCTACCCTCTGTAGTGTATTCCAACTTAGGTTGGGTGTTTGTGTATTTTTAGTTGTAATGTGTTAGTTAAGTTTTGTTTACCTGAGGACGGGATCAGATTCCAATCCCGAAACGTTGTGTATTGTTTTTTTTAGCGAATTTCCCATAGGGAATAATCTATTACCGTAGTACTCATGGTAAGACCTGGACGCGGGACCAATTTTTTTTTCGTTTTGAGGTCCCTAGAGTCCAAAAACACCATCCGTTCAAATTCATATATATATATATATATATATGTGTGTGTCCGTCAGCACGATAACTCGAGCAAAAATGATCCGATTTTGATGAAATTTGGTACAAACGTGTAAACCTACGTTTATTCGAACGAGTTCGCGATCCAGCATGATCGGACCATGGGAACGGGTGTTTACGGGGGGTTTTATGGGGTAAAAATAGGTTTTTCCCATTTTTGACCCAAAAAACATAAAATTTAGCAATTTATTTCCAAACCATTTTGTAGAGCTTAAAAAAACAAATAATTTAGTATATTGAAGCGTTATTATGCGCCTAATGGTTACGGAGAAATTTCCAAAAAATTGTAAATTTAAAATTCCCATGTTATTCTTATGGAGAATTAGTAAACTGTTGTAGTTTGCTTGTTTATGAACATATTTTGATCAAATTTGGAAAATGTTTTTATTCCTTACTAAATATTAACATTTTACAAAAAAAACAGTTTTACCCTCCCTGATGCAGCAAACCTAAGTACTTGTTAAACTAATTCTATTTAAATCGGGAATAAATGCTATATTTTTAAGTAGACATTTCAGTGTAAATCCAATCAGTCAAATGGAAATTCGCTTAGTCTGCAGGTTTGCTGCGGCGGGGGTATTTTACATTCGTGATGGAAAATGTCCGCAATAAATCTTTGAACAACAGTTAAAGATGGTTCGGACACTTTGATACTATAACGTCATACAAATGAGTTTTGAAAATGTATGATAGTGGTTTATCATTAACAATGCCGAGTACATATAATTGATTTATTTAAAGACCACAAAAATAATATCACACTGCTAATAAGTGCTTCGATTTTTCATTATCTAAATTTCAACCTCCAGATTGAATAGGTAAGCTCTTAAATCTAAGATATAGTCTACTGAACTGTTTTAATACTTGTAATCGTATATTAAATTAACTGTTTACAAGATACCTGGTTTACCAACTCTTCACCTACTGGGAAAGTATGAAATCGCTAAATAGGAATGTTAACTATTCCGACGAAATTCTCGGACTATGATTATATTTTGTCTATAACCAGTGATAGTAGTTTTTTTTTGGGGACATTTAGCTATCGCTGTTCAAATGCCTCTGTACAAAGCACGGGTTGAGAGATGTGAGTCCAATTTATAAAATTAAACTCTACAAAGTTATTGGCGTCTTTGAGTTCTCAAAGACGACCGATAAACGACTGAGCGTCAGAGTCTGTTAAGAATCCACTTTACTTGATTTTCCTCATAACAGGGACTACGTGATCTGACTTCAGTGATATACAACAAAGAAAGAAGTTTCCAAGACAAAATATACTCGTAGTCAATGTTCTGTGTACGGTTGTGAAGACTTGGTGATGCTAATCTTTTGCAAATTTGCGTCGACACGAAAGAAAAAATTCCCTATGTCTAATGTTATTATACATGGTTAAGAACAAGTTAAAATATAGTTGCAGGTTGATAACATTATTTTCAAAAGAGTTTTTTTATAATCAATGTAGCCTATTTTTCTCTATCGAGTAGATTGCATTGCTCAGAAAGAAAATCGTAAGCAGAGGCTTAAACTACTTTAATTGATTTGTTATTCAAAGCATATTATTTGTAATGCTAGTAATATATTAGATTGTACTGTAGTGGTATAAAGTAAAATTGCTATATCATCGATATATCGTTGAGATATATTTACAAGCATTTTTTTTTTTTTAAACGCGTTTTATTGACTAACGACCATTGTTGCTGGTATGCTATGCTATGGATGCTGGTGTAACTGTAAAACATACACATTGTTATTTCACTACTTCCCAAGTATCCCTACTACTACTACTCTAGTTTGTTGGAAACAAGTTGTGTACAGAGTGTCCCCGAACTCTCTTTACTCTTTACCGACCTTTGATATTTTCACCCGCGTCCATTGTCTAGTTTTAGTAAAGTGAGTAGACTGTAAGTATAAAAGTCCTGCAACTATTCACAATAAAAAATTGCATACACGAAAAGCGATGCTACTAGTGTCAATGAGAATGGAATGAAGTAATGAAAATCAAGTTCATATTCATTTCTCAACAGCTCAATCGTCGTGTGCGCATGCGTTATAAGCGCTGCAAGGTGTCGCCACCTCGGCGGCAGACAGGTGAACTACCAGTTCCTCACCTGTCCGACAGGTCGCAGGCGCGTTCACTTCGCCACCGCCGCCATCGCAGGTGAGATAGCAGTACTTTGACACGATTCAGTTCAAGTTCAGGTGTTCGCCCGGTGGTGTGAAGCGATTGTTCTAATGTCGTGGTGTTTTTAGTGTCAAATACTGGATTAGTGTGTTATTCCAATGGATATACCTCATTTATGATAGTTGGCTTTCATCGTGTCAGGTAAGTCTGCTTTTCACCTTACACCTTCACTTAGGCAAGATTAATTAGTTGGGTCAGGTGTTAGTGACTCACAATGAAGCCTATTACGGCGTTGGGTTTCGACAATAATGGCTCTAGATGTAATTGTTCCTTGACGTTTTTATAACTCGTGAAATAAACTAATGAATACCATTTTTAATTGTAAAACTGCTGTGCAAAGTTGTGGTGTGAAGTCCAATAGATCTGAAGGAAAGGAATTCGGTGGAGTCGAGCGACAAAAAGTAGGCCTCACAACCAGTATGTCAGTATGTGGTCCTTTTGAAGATTCACGCACTCCTTATAAAATTTCCTTGTAATTGTTGACTTGTTTTTGTTTTCACTGCAAGAAACCCGGATGTTTGGCTATAGACAAAGTGCAAATCTGGTGGAACTTGTTGGAATTTTAGTTTCCAAGCTTAACACCTGGTTTTATGGTAGATTTTCTGTTGACATGGAGAGAAAATAAATTATGTACAAAAATGTACTGGGAAATCCATTATCTGACTGGTGCATGAGTTGTAAACTTTATTTTTTATACGGTGTACGTTTGTAAGTCAGATTTTGCATAAAATAAATATCTGCTATTGATTACCTGTGGTTGCTTTAAAGAAGAATAGAATAATGAATCTATTTGACAGCTTTGACACACATTCATTGAAACCAAGTTACTTGATGTAATCAGCATTGTTCTCATTAAAAGTTTTTTTTTTTATTTCCACTGTTGTTTTGCAGTTTAAAGATTTTGTAATAGCAGGTGCAATTAGTTAAGCCAATGAAAAATTAAAATCACGTTTTTAATAATTAATCAACGCTTTTAATCACGTAGTCCTCGCCACAATTTTCGGATCGGGAAGTCGTCAGATTTCTTCCCTTCTTGGAGGGGTCTTGAAGAAGTTGCTCATTTTTTGAGGTGTTGGTATGTGTCCTGTTCAATGTACTGTGGTTTTGTAATATGGTCTGTTTATTAAGTATTCTTTGAGTTTTTTTGTGAAGCTGTTGATTGTGGTTGTTGATTTTATATGTTCTGGTATTTTTCGGTAATAAATTGTAATGATATGTACCTGATGGGTGTATTGCTGTTTTTTTGTAGTCGGTGTTTCTTTGTGTTAATGTTGTGTTTGTTTCGAGTGTTGTAGGGTGTGTATGTCTGGTCGTGGGGTGGGCGATATTAATGCAATACCGGTTGCATTAAGGTTGTGCAATACATGAGAGAGGTGATAAAGTAGTTTAACAGTGACCAAGCTAAGCAATCGCTATCACTAGGCCTATGTATCATAGATATCCTCAGATTACGCATTTCTATCTCAAGTTTTATAGTTTAAAATTGTCAAAATTATTTATTTGAGGTACCCATTAAGTGACGTCAAAATATTACTACTACTACCACCTACATTAATATTATGGTTTTTAATTTGTCCATTTCAATAGCAAGAGGAGATTATAATAATTCTATATATCAAGGTCTTCTGTCGAAAGACTTTTTAACTCATTCTTAATCACAGGGTTGATTGTAGAGTGGTTAGTTGAAAACAACTGATTGTATAGCTTGTTTTGAATTCAAAAAATAACAAGTCCTATGTCAAATACAATCCGACTTTCCAGTAACCTTGTGTAGAAAAATTCACAAAATAGTCCTTATTATACCTATACCTACTTGAGTTGTTTAAACTTTTTAACAACATAAATGCGCGTAATGTATAACTTATATTTTTTTTCAAAAGTTTTTAAAATCAATCGTACCTTCCTTCGTCGTAGTATTGAACGTGAACATGAAATATATTTTTATTTTACAGTGTTTATTTTTTTAGTACCGTAATTTAAAAAATAATTTACCTAACGTGAACATAACATACCGGTAACCTAAAAATATTTGTTGTAATAATTTTACTAGAATGAGAAAGTTTAAAACAGTTTACCAGAGCTAAAGAGATATCCCTAACTAGGAAAGAGTCTCGGATAATATAATGGGTGATTAGCCACCCAGTAACGACTTCCTTATGAAACTAGTTGCAACTAATTAGTGTTGTAGTTGTATAATTGAGTAAAATGTGAATCGCGCTTTAATTTGAAAGTTGAATAATTTTGGATTATTGGTAGGCTAAAGGAACTAATATTTTTTGTGCCACAGGAGAAGGCTTATTTTTTAACAAGTAACTAAAAATAACATAAATTTGTTAATGTTAATTTCATTTTCTCGATTTTTAAAGAGCATAAAGTTGATGATTGCAATACATTAAAAATGCCCCGTTGAGTTGAAATAAAGAACAATATTTGACTCTACCTCAAATTAAACCCAGAACAAGTAAAATTACACCAGTTGTCTGATAGGTTAAGCCGATAATTAATTCAGTAATGGTACCCAATGGAGCCTAGGTAGTAACGTAAGGTGTGGTCGGTGTTCGTTATGTAACTAAATTGGCACAATGTTTGGACATAAAATTAATTACCAACATTATTGTCTATAGCAACAATAAGTCGCCAGAAAAAAGTAAAACTGTGATTATTTAATAATCTTTTGAAGATTGTATGTAATATTACAAACCAGCATAGCCAATTTTTAAATTCTTTTGTCTGTGGTAATATGCAGTTGGTAACTAAACTTATGTGATGTGTTAAAGCTGTATTTTTCCCCCTTTTCAAAACAGTCCTTTTTAATTTTAAGTCAGAGGAACTTGAACTTTTACTTTTTATTAAAGCGATCTCTATATATTATTGTCATTATACTAATTTAGTTTTAGACTCGCCTTTGTCTTTTCTTTTATCTCCGTTTTAGCCCCGTGATGCGAAATGGTCACGCGGTGGATAAACAGGATGTTGTCCGGGAATGTTTTCCGCGTTTAAACCCCAATGATAACTTTGCAGTTTCAAAGTATTTTATAGAGGGGTATCGAATATGAAACAAGTCTTGACAAGTCCCGATGTGGGGTTGGTGCTTTAATTATTGAAATTCACCAATTCGTTTCGGGGGGGGGGGGGGAGGAATATTACGGATTTACTTGCGTTAAGTGTTTGTGGCATGGATTCTATTTAAACATATAAGATGGTACCTACAATTAATTATGAAATACAATTTTATTGATTATTAAACTAACTTATTAAGGTAAGTGTCTTTAAGATAAATGATTGTAGAGTACTGACTCAAGTGACTGTACGAACCATTGAATAATATCGATGATCAAGTCAGGTCCAGGTCGTGTCAAACAAATCAACACGTTTCTGACATTCAACTATTTTATATTTGGATAAAAATTTAGCTCCAATTGTTTCATGTTGGTATCTAAACTCCAATGATAACACATGTTTATCTTGCATGTTATAGTTATCCCAGACAGCTGACAGACAGTCGCTAGGCAGGCGGTTTTCAATGTTCATTGCAATAGCGTTCAACAACCGCGCCAGCTGTCCGTTCAAGGCCGTCATGCACTGCGTGCGTTGCTTTGTTGATGCATCAGCTGGTTATTTCGACCAGGGTTGCCAAATTTACAAAAGTTAACAGCTTTACAAGCTATTTTTCACTCAAACCTTTGAGCACCAACTCAAAGGTGATGGTCAGGGCTAGAGATATACATATATGTATATGTATTTCTCTAGCCCTGGGTGATGGTACCGGTAATCTTAGACAATTATTAAGGATAAATACCCACACTTCCGTTTACTATCTAGGCAAGCTCTCATATAGTGGTTGTACCGTACGGGTTTAGGGTTTGGTCCCATATACTGTGGAGACAAGTGAACGATTTTTTAGGTCAATGCTGGTTCGTTAATTTAGTCGCACCAGCACATTGAATCGTAACCAATATGAAACAGACCATCAAAACAAACTTCATTTTAAACTATCAAAATAAATTTGAACACGAAATGCAAATTAGAACTGAAGATATCTGCAGCGTTTATATTTTCCTTCAAATCACCAGTTAACGTACCCTGTCCTAACTTTACAAGCCAATGCAAAGTGTGTTCGCCTTGCTTATCACACTCGAACACAAGACTCTCCCCCAAATAGGTACTATAGCTGTGAAAAACATTGGTTAAAGGAAACGGAGAAACGTTGCTGCCCACTAATTATGTACGGAACAAGATGTTTACCGATAATATCAATATATACGAAGTAAAACTGTTCATACAATTCCCTTAGTTCTGAGATCATGCATTTCTGCAATAATGTCTCGAGGACAAGTATGTCCTCCGTTACCAAACTGGAACCCGTGAGTTGGGTGAGGCCTGAGTTTATAACATGAATTTTGTTGAAGTTATGAGGCAGGTTGTGCCCGGAATGTCGTCTCCCCACCCCCTATACCGTAGTAACGTTATTAACCATCTATATTAATGAGCTGGACTGGGCCGCGGGTGCCAATGTCGACTGATATACGGGTACAAGGCCAGATCTGTGCAGGGTGATTTAATTAAAAGAGGATTGAAACTAAAGGTTAATAGTTGTGTGGTTCATTTATCTCTGATTGTGTTTAGGAGAAGCTTATTCTCTACATGGTTTGTAGAGGATAATTTTGTTTTGTGTTCTTTATTGAGCCTATGGGACTATTTAAGTTTTTATGTGAGGAAACGGTCAAAACTTTATAATTGTTATCATCTGACGAAATGCTGATGTTAGTTAGAAAAGTCGTTCATGAACTGCAACTGTATTCCACTCAGGACCAGCAAAACCAGCAACCTAGACGAGTGTGAACACTTTAACATTAAACACTGCTTGGTTGGATAGTTCTATTCCTAATAGTTTTGGTCCGAGCTCTACTAGATTTTTCGTCTTTTGGTTTTTAATAAGGGCCTTGGCTAAAACAAACTACTACTGATTTTAATCAGAAACTGACCAACACAAATCATCCACACCTGTCTACATTCACCTTGCATTTATACTTAGTTTTAAGTGTACACTTACAAGTGCGTGTGTCGCTGTGTAGAAGTTTGTTTCACGACGTCCAATATAAAATATTTGACTGTTGCACGACGTCCAAATCTCACAAAGT